CCGCAGGGGGTTTGAAAGGCGGGGGACGGGCTTGGGCGGCGGGGCAGCCCAGGCGCGCCTGTATACCCGGCGTATAATACAACCCCCGATTTTTGGGGGATGTTTTTTAACATCAAAAGTCGTCTTATACGCCGGAAAATACGGTACTCATGGAATAATAAAATGCAGAAAGCTAATTGGGAAGTAACTTCCCATGTGGAAGTTGGAGAGGATTCTGGGATCTGTGGCAGGCGACATGTGACATAATAGGCCCGCCCATGTTTTGTTTATGCCTGTAGGCTGAAATCAGCCAAACGATTAAGAATGAGAGTTGGTTAGCTCAGTCTCTTGGGTGGGATGGGGTAGAAATGGCCACGCTAGGCAGTAATTTGCTTCACAGGTGGCTGGGAACTGCAAATGCACTTGAACTGAGAATGAACCCACAGAGTGACGACCTGGAATAAGCCTGCATGGCTGATTTCTGGCAGCTGAATCTCAGGCTGTCCGTACGGGGGTGACATTAGCGGCACATCGAGAGTAACTGGATATGAGTTTTGGATGGTGGCTGAGAGCGCGGTCTTGTTACTACAATGAATACGTGTTCTCTCTTCTCTTCAGGACAGGGTGTCATATGTCATTCATGTAGAGGGAAGGAAACACACAGTTCACCTAGAAAAAAACAAGTAAGTGACTTGTCTTTCCTTCTGCTAACTGTGCCCTGGGATTACTCATTTCCTATCAACTGCATTAGATTAGACATGCTGTTTCCAGCGCTGGTGTGGCACGCTGTTTCCAGGTAATATGCTGTTTCCAGCCCCAGAGCTGGTGTGTTGTGTGTTTGCACACTGGCTCTGTTAAACCTGCAGGAGAAAACAGCTGAAAGTGGATTAAATCTTTCTCCCTCCCATCCCCCACAGTAAGGTACCAACTGAACATTTTTCTGAGCTGAGGGCAGGGATTAAAAGGCCACCATCTCACTTCAGACAGACGCACACAAAACTCCTACCTTTCCTTGCTGCCTGCGTGTGACGTCTGCAGATTTATTTTCAAATTCTCTCCCTTGTTGCTGGGGCAGATATCCCCACAAATGAGGAAACTGACTGTACACACTTTCAGAGTTAAACCCTCGGAACGTGGCGAGATTTCAGTCCTTACCCTGCTTTTTAAGGGTTCTTTGTAACAACAATAGGTTAAAACCAGGCAGAGCTGTTTTTTGAAGGTGGTGTTCCCATAACACAGGGCTGGGCAACATACAGTCCACAGGCCGGATTCGACCTGCCAACCCACTGGATCTGGCTCATAGGGGTGACGGGAGCCTCAGTCAGGCTCCCTGCCTGCCCCATCTCTGCCTGCGGCTCAAAAAAGACGGCTGTGGGGCCCGGTTTGTCAGCCCGGGAGAAGGTGTGAGAGGGTTCTTGTGCTGCCCTCACCCCAGCACAATCTTGCAGCTCCCATTGGCTGGTTTCCCATTGGCATTAAATATCCCATTTCACTACCCTGAGTTTTTCCATAGTACAGTTACATAGAGGAGTAGGTTCTAGTAACTGCATAATTCCTCGGTGGTTCATGGTGGCATGTGGTTTTCTTATCCATTTTCTTATTTTGGTACTGATTTTTCAGTACTGCCACTGTTGAATGGGCTGTTTCTTGTGGCATCAACATTGTTGTAGCTTTTTCTTTTCCCCCCCTTTTCAGAGAACTTTTACCCAAAGATTTCACGGTATACACCTACAGCGAGGATGGAACGTTGCAGTCTGAGCATCCGGACGTGCAGGTGGGTTTTCTTCCTTTTGTATGCTGGAGCAGTGAGCTCGGAACGCCCTCCATCCGCCTGTTTAAAGAGTAATATGTGAAGGAACCGACGGGAGCATGATCTAAAGGGCAAGGTTCTAATCTGCAGGGCCCACCTCATTTCACTCCATGTGGGGGAGACGCCTTGAGATTTAAGATCGGAGTGTGGCCCGTGGTGTACAATGCTAGGGTCACCCTGTCCTGCGATGGGTGGGACGGCAGATGGGGGCGCGCGTGTTTGTACTTAGGTTTTTTTTTTAAATTTTCATTTCTTTTAATTGAAAAGGGAAATACTTGTCTTGATCAGTCATTGATCATGTGCTTATCCCGTTGTGTCAGCCAAGAGCAGTGTAACGGTTCTGTTGTCTGGATGCCAGCGCTCCTGAAGAGCCTGGGTTCTGGGCCTGCCATGTGGAATACAGTCAGAATGACTTAGCGGGCACAACAATTCTCGCCATATGGGCCGACTGCTTCCACTCCCGTTGTTTCACCAGATGCGATTGGATATTACATTTTCCAAGGCTGATTAACTGGTTTCATGGAACAAACACAGATGGAGCCTCGTGTCCTAGCAAGTACATGGACGTTTTCCTTTCTCCGCTCCCCCCCCCCGCTCTGTTGTGTGTGTTCTGCGTGGTGTGATGCACAATATCTCTTGCAGCAGGGGAGCTGACCATTGGGCTGGGCCCCTGGGCCAGGGGAGGGGAGCGCCATGCTCCTGGAAGGGGAGGGGCCTCTGGCAGAAGAGGTGGGGCCAAGGGCAGCCGGTCCTGATTTCTGCTCAGAGCACAGCGCGATGCCCCCTACCCCACAGCCCTCGGAGCTGCCCGGAGCATGCCGCATGGCGCTTCCGCAGCGATTTTCAGGGCCCAGGACTCCAGCCATCTCTGCTGCTGCAGCAGGCGGGAGCCCTAGGCCCCTTAAAAGCTCCAGGCCCCAGGGCAATTGGCCCCTTCCCCCCCCGCCGGCCCTCTTCCCCCCTTGCGCCTGTCATCGGGCCTGATTTCTTGCCTGAATGCAGAGCAGGAGAATGTTTTGGTTTCTTCCCGACTTGCCTTTCTGTTTAAAGGCAGGCCCCAGACTCCGAGGAGGAGCAGTGTCTGCTTGGTCGGGACGCTTTAGTCCAGGCAGCGGCCGTGATGCGCGCTGGGCCCTGGGGGATCATTACACGCTTTAAGAACTTTGTAAGGCACAAGGCCAAAGAACAAATGATTCCAGCCACCTGACAACTGCAGCACACGCCTGCGAGGGAGCTGTGCGGCTCCGGCTGCAGAGCAGTGAACGTTCTGTGCGGGGCAGAACGCAAGGGCTCTGCCTTGTGCTCACCCGCAGTTGGGTGGGGCGTATGCCCACTGGGGTTTTTGTGGTGGCGGGGGGCGGTGTAACTATTGTTGTGTGTTTGGCAGGTTGCGAAACCTCCTGGTTTGCTCCCAGGGGATGGAGTTGTGGCATCTGGGCGAGTGGTTCTGTGTCTTGTACGGGGATCTAAAAGCTAATGGCTTGTGTCTGGCAGGGCTCTGTGTTCCTGACAAGGGGCCATGGCAGAAACAGCAGATGTTAGCGCTCTCTGGCTAGAATGAGGGAACATGCGAGCCAAAGGGCGTAGCATCCAAACTTCATTCCTGGAAGGCTGCATGGCTTCCTGGCAGGGCTTCAGTTCAGCTGGCGCTGAGCAGAGTGGAGCTCCGGTAAATTCTGACAGATCTGCGGGAGTCTTGGTGCCATGGGGCTCTGGGAAATGGCAGAAACAGCAGATGTTAGCGCTCTCTGGCTAGAATGAGGGAACATGCGAGCCAAAGGGCGTAGCATCCAAACTTCATTCCTGGAAGGCTGCATGGCTTCCTGGCAGGGCTTCAGTTCAGCTGGCGCTGAGCAGAGTGGAGCTCCGGTAAATTCTGACAGATCTGCGGGAGTCTTGGTGCCATGGGGCTCTGGGAAATACTCTGGGAGAATTTAAACCCTGCTCGTTGAATCTCACCAGTTGGGCTGAGCTTAAAATATAAATTGGGGCTGGGATGGGCAGGTGAGAACAACCAACGTGGAGGTCGGACAGCTCAGCCTCAAGCCAGAGACTGGTCACAGATGCTGCTGCTGAGACCTGCCGCTCCGGGAATGGACACGTGTCAAATCGCAAAGGCTCCAGCAGCACAGCCTGGAGGGTTTCGGCGTAGACCAGTGGTTTTCAACCTCTAGTCATTTGCAGATCCCCAAGATATTTCATGGGGAGGGGCGGAGCCTTTGCAAAACTGAGGCATCTGCTGCTGACCCAAGGGGTCCATGGGCTAAAAGCTGAAAACTACTGGTGTAGACACGACCTACGCTGGTTGGTGGGAATCTCCCGTCCATGTAGCTAATCCACGTCCCGGAGATGTGGGATCTGGCTGGACAGTCTCTCGTCAGCCTGGTGCTATGTGCGCACAGCTTAGTTTGGCTTCCCAGTGTGTGATGGGGCCCTGTTTGCCAAGCCAGGCTGCCCCGCTGGCCCCGTTTGTGGCTGGTACTCTCCATGCCCCATCGCGGGACTCCCTGTTAGACCCGGTAACTGCAGCAAGGTGGACTCCAGTTCCCTGGTGGTGCCACGAAACCAAACAGCCCATAGTGGGAAGTTGCCGGATCCCTTCGCCTCTTGGCCGGCGCAGGCAGTAACAGTTGGGGAATTGACCCTTAGTGCAGAATTGAAGGGGGCTTAGTCTGTAGCAGGCCAAACAGTCTGGCCCCTGAGCCTCTGGGCTGATCCCGAAAGCAAAGAGCAGCCACGCCTAGTGGCTCATGGCGTGTGGCAGGGGAACCTGGCCCCTCCTGCTCCCCGGAGTTCCAAGCCAGGGGCTACAGACTGAGCCCCATTCAGCCCTGCTCAAGGCGCCTGTTCCCCAACTACGACTGCCTGCCACGGCCTGGCCTATGAAGCCAGGGTGTCCCCTGCTAAGGGTCTGGGAATCAACTTCTGCTGCATCGCCCAGGCCACATCCTGCCACAAATTGCATCCCAGGTGTCTCCTCGGCTGGGGGGGCCTGGGGTCGGTCGGCAGCGTAGTGTGGGTCCATGGGCCCTGCCACTAGGAGGGACACTGGTACCACGGGGGAGCCCGCAGTACACGGCCTTCCTCCTCCATAGCCCGCCCCACTCAGCAGGGCGGCCGCCTGCTCTCTGGCTCTTCCACCTGGAGCGTGGCAGCTGGGGAAAGGGGGCGTGGCCTCCTGGGACCAAGGGATTTGTCTCTCCCTGGTGGCCCAGTGCGGGGTTGGTCCACACATCATGCTACTTCTCTTTGAGGTGTGGATTTTTCACACCCCCGAGTGATGTGGTTGGGCCAACCAAATTGTCTAGCGTGATCCAGGCTGCAGGCAGTCGGTGTGGGATTTAGGCGTGGTCTGCACTAGAAAATTAGGTTGCCATAACTATGGTGTTCAGGGTGTGCAAAATCCACCCACCCAACCGGGTCTTTAAGGTGACCTAAGTCCCTGTGCAGACAGCGCTAGATCGATGGCAGAATTCTTCCCTCTTGCTGCCTCTAGGGGAGGTGGATTACCCACTAGGGGTGTAACCGTAGAACTGCTTAAATGGCTAACGGAGCAGCTGGCTCCCAGCCCCACTCCTGGGAGTCGGATCCTGGGTGCCAGCCCCGCTCCCAGGGAGCCGGCTGTGCTGAGGGCTCTGTAGTATAAGCTTTGTTCTGCAGAGCCCGCAGCCTGGAACCACTAAGATTTTCAGCAGTCACAATTACCTAATTAACCACTTTTTGACATCCCCATTACCTACACCAGGGCTTAAATTCTCAGAGTAGTGCCCTCCCCATGCCATGGAATCTCCAGAAGGGTTGAAAATATTTCCTAGAGCTCGGCTCCAGATGGCTCCTGTTGAATTCAAACCCTGACAGGAGAATTTACTTCCTGAATTCCTCTGTTTTGCATCATTTTGTATTTTCCCATCTACAAAACCATTTTGCCTGGGAAGTGCTGCAGTCCTGCCTTTCACCCACCAGAGGTCGATGTGGCACCAGAACGGGCCAGCTGTTCGGCTGCTGTGGCGGCCTCTGGTGGGCAGAGGCAGAACTGCAGCACTCCTTAGGTGCACGTGTGTTTTCCCACTTAACATACAAACTTTGTGCTCAGTGCTGCAGATTTCCCCTGTACAGTTCGTCACAGCCCTGGGGCCAGCTCAGAGCAGAGTGGGGCTCACAGGGCTGCTGGCAGGGTCACAGACGGGGTGCAGAATGGGGGAAAGGGAACAGACTAAAGGTCAGGCTTTCACGCCGGAACCGATGGGGTTACAGCATTTAGCCTGGAGATGGGGGCTGCAGAGACCCATGGGGATGGGGGCATGGGAGGCAGATATTGGGGCAGAGGAAGAAACAGCCTTCCCAAACTGCCAGGCGTGGCCCCGCCCACACTCCGGCCCCTGCTTCAGCCCTAAGGCGTGGGCTGGGTGCCTGCACAAGCCTGGCCACACAGAGTCCACCCCACTGCAGGAGCTGTGGCCCCTCCCTGCTCTGGTCCTGGCCCCATAGGAGTCCGCCGGACGGTTGCCACTAATGGTCTTGCTCACGAGATGCTGGGATGGAGCGGTGGGAATAACAGACATTTCTTACTCTTAAGAAATATGAGTCGGGGGAGGCTCAGGGCCGGGGGCTGGGAATATGAGGGGGGCGCAGAAAGCAGGGTTGGAGTGTATGAGGGGGCTGGGAGGGCAGAGGCGAGTCTGAGGTTTTGCTGGTAACATTTTATTTGCAATTTCCATGTTCATTATTTGCATAATGAATATGCAGCTATGCAAATAAAATGTTACCGGTCTGTCAAAAGTTTGTGAATGGGTTTGCCAGTCCGCGGTATAGAAAAGGTTGGGAACCCCCGTCCTAGAGCATCTGGCGTTTGGTTACTAATGCCATGTTTACCTGCATGGTGGCTAAGCACATGCCTGGCCCTCTCCCGCACACACATCTTCAGGCGAGGGATGGAGATCTCATCCTACCCTTGATGCAGTGAGGTGAACGGTAGCAGCAGCAGCTGGAGTCCATTGCACTGTGTGTGTCTAGGAATAAAACATAATAAATTCCTTCATTTTCCTCTTAGGATCACTGCCATTATCAGGGATACGTGGAGGGGATGCAGGATTCCCTGGTCGCTGTCAGCACTTGCTTTGGACTCAGGTAACCGAACTCGTCTTGTGGATGTCATTCTCACAGCTGCTCATGGTTGTCATCCAGTTCTCCAAAACAGAGTCCCATTGTCCTGCTGACTGACTTCGTTCTGAGCCAAATTGTGTTTCCTCTGCTGGTGTGGGGTGGCCTGCGAGAGTTGGGTTAACACCAGCCTGGCTTTGCAGTCGTTTGTTGGTACCAAACGAATAAATATTTTGATTAAAACAAAATGATTTGATCACTAGCACTTGTCCTCAAAAATTTCAATCCAGAATTCTTCCCCACCCACCTGAACAACCGACTTCACTGTTCCGCCATCAGCGACTCCAATAGACATTGTTGCATCTGTCCTTAGTATTTATACAATCTCGTATAGAAGGTTAATTTAAATGATCTTTTTTTGTTTTGGATGCAATTATTCTTGTGTTTGGGAGTTTTTAAATGAAATCTTGGTCAGGAGTTTTACTGAGCTGTGGCACTTAAAGTGTTTTATGATCAGCTTTAATTTGAAAAAATCTTTGACCTGAGGTAATTTCAGCACCTTTAAGATTGTCTTGATTTGTCTATTATTCGTGCTCCGGTTGCTGCTCTTTGCTGTTGCAGAAACGTAAATGGCAACATTAACCAAATGGAAATATTTTTCCTTGCAGAATGGACAATTAAGGTCCCGATTCTGCAAACTGTTATGAATGTGCTTAATGTAGCTGACGTGGGTTGTTCTGTTGACGTCACGAGCTGCTTGCACACCAGTGTCTGCAGGATCGTGGCCTCGCTTTGCTCTTTTCTTTCTTTCTGTCTGTCTGATATTTGTTGTCCCGCCCCCTGGAGAAGAGCAGCCTCTGGACTTTGTGCTGCAAGGCTTGGCGCTCATGTGTTTCATGTGGTTGTTAGGGGACTGCTGCAAGTGGAAAATGTTGTGTATGGAATTGAGCCGATGGATTCCTCCTCTGGCCTCAAACACATCCTCTATCGAATGGAGGATGTGAAGAAGCAACCCATGATGTGCGGCGTCAACAGCACCGACCCTGAAAGAGAGCGCACCGAGGACGCGCACCCTCCCAGCATGACTCAGTTGCTGCGAGTGAGTACTCTGCAGTCTTCTGCGGTGCAGTGTGGTACCACCGCTCTGACGTGGAAAAGGTGGGTGGGGTTTCCCAGGCCTGCCACAGGGAAGGAGCGCGACGCGGGCATTTTCCTCCTCGCGGTGGAGGTATGCCGTGTGAACCTGGCGGCAGTGGCTGTGTTGGCACGGAAGCAGCCGCATGGTTGCCGTGTGGGGCGAGCTGAGGAACATGGACAGAGCCGTGTGCCGCTGCGGTCAGGGGCGAGCTTCGGGCAGAGTTCTGTGTCCGATGCCAGCGCGGCACGTACCCTGCTGAAACTGGGGCTGTTACACCCAGACCCATTGATGGGGGTGGGAGGGCAACTGCCCTGGGGCCCAGTGATTCCAAAGGACCCAGGGCTCCCCCAGCTGCTGCTGCTGCAGCGGCACCTGGGGCCCTAGGCCCGTTAACTTGCCGCTGGAGTGTCAGCTCCGAGGGCTGGCGGGTGGGTGCACCGTGGCCTGGGGAGTACTGAGGATGGGCCGCCCCAGCCCCGCCCCTTCAGCCTGAGGCCCCGCCCCTTCCAGGAGCATGGAGCCACGCCCCCACCTTGCCCAGGGGCCCAGCAAGGCTGCTAGCTCCCCTGGTTACCCCATTTCCAAGTAGCTGTGTTAGTGCGGGGTTTCTTTCTTTCATTTACAGTTTAAATTTCACCTAGAAAGATGGGAGCTGTAAAACATATAGAGTGTGACAACCAGTCGTGCTTGTGTTCTGTACAGCGTTTGTTAGCAGCTCCTAACAGGTGGTATTTATCACAGCTGTTACCAGCTGTTTCCTGCTTCGTCTACAAAGAGGTATACATTGCCTTTCTAATGGAAGTGAATGAGAATAAACAATCCCTTTCAAAATGTATTGGTTATGTGGCCAGTCTTTAGTCAAAAACACATGCGGAGGAATTATTACTTTGCACGAGGTGGGTTTTTTTAAAATTTGGGTGTTTTTCTTATTCCATTAGTAAAGCGTTTGTTTTACTGAGTGTGAAATGTGAGTGTGGACTAGGATGAGCTCATCTTCTTTGTAGAGATGAACTTGGTAAACTTTAGTTGGCTGCAAACGTTTATTTTTGCTGTTTGCAGCGGAAAAGAGCTATACTTCCCCAGACGAGATATGTCGAGCTGTTCATAGTTGTGGACAAAGAACAGGTAGGATTATATATTGGTTTTTCCTTAGTTCCTTGCTTATGGTGGAGGGAGATGTAACTTAACCCCCCCCCAATAATTATGAAAAATTGTAAGGCAGAATAATATTGTACCTTTTGGTACTTAAAACATTCCTTCAACCCTCATTATCACAAATGGATTTATTAAAGGACAATACCAGGCGTGAAGTGGACAGTTTAAATAGATACACTGTTACTCGTTGCAAAATAAGATATTCAGTAAAACCTCAGAGGGTCGGAGTTTTACATTCAAGGATTCTAATGGTCGAAGGAGAATATTTCTCTTCATATTCTGCCTCTCGTGAACAGATGATGCTCTGGCTGCTTCCTCGTCTCTTCTAGTGCTTTTGTTCTGACAACATTCCCGGGTGTATCTTCCACGCAGGAGGCTGGGAGCCTGAGAACAATGCTTGAAAGTTGTTCCTCCTCCCCTGTCTTGTGATCATACTGATCCCAGCTCACTGCCATTGACACCCCTCTTTGCATTGCAGTACGAGGTGATGAGCAGTAGTGTAACTGCAGTGAGAGAAGAGATGGTGCATCTAGCAAATTACCTGGACAGTGTAAGTTAAAGCTAGTCTGTGTCTCCGTGGGCGATAATATTCAGTGCTGTAACCGTGCAACCTCCATGTTTAATTCTCTAAACCGACCCCCTGGGTCTGTTATCCTGTCTGGATGCTGCTAAGCAGGGCTAGGCCCTGTCAGGAAATGGATGCTCAAAGGAAAGCCAGTGTCCGGTTGGGAGGGATACTAATGATTCAAGAGCTCATAAGTCCAGTCCTCTGCACTCATGGCAGGACCGAGCACCAGCTAGACCAGGGATCAGCAAGATGCGGCCTGCTAAGTCTTTGGATCCAGTGTGCAGCCTGTCCCAGGCAGGCTCCTTGCCCACCGCAGCCCCAGACTGCTCAAAGTGGCCAGCTGTTCCCTCCACGTGCCTCTCTACACTGTGCACTGCAGTGGGAAGGCTTCACGTGCTGCCCCTGCCCGCCGTACAATCCTAGAAGCTCCCATTGGACGGAGCTGGGCTGAGGGTCCTGCTGTCTCTCTTGTCCTGAGAAACTACAAATCTGTTAGGCTCTGTTTTGATTTGACTTTGGTTTGCTGGGGACACCATTCATTTGTGTGCAGGATCCTTTCTGTTTGTCTCTTTGGGTTTTCTGCAGCACCCTCTCGCTGTGGCATGCAGACACTCGTCCTGTAGCCCACTAACATGCAATAGCAGGGTCTGTCTGATTGAGGAAACTGACATTCTTATTGCATAGGGAAATTGAACAGTTAGATGTTGGCAGTGTGATTATGTGCATCTATAAAAGGGTGTATTCTCCCCTTGTCTTTGCTGTTCCAGATGTACATTATGCTGAATATTCGCATCGTGCTGGTCGGCTTGGAGATCTGGAAGTACCAAAACTTGATTAGCACCGAGGGAAGTGCCGGCGACGTGCTGGGGAACTTTGTACAGTGGCGGGAGAAGAATCTTGTCACGCGCCGACGACACGACAGTGCCCAGTTTATTCTGTAAGTGCTGGGAACCTGCCCCCTCCAGAACTAATCTTAGGAAAGCGCTTTGCCAGGGGAGCTTGCTTACGAGTCATAACTTACGAAAGCAACATTCACTGGAGACTCCATGGCAGTGACTTTGCTGTGGTCACTCAGGAACAACCTGCTGCACACGCCCTTTACAGAGGCAGCATGACTGTTCAGCATCAACATGTTGCACCTCTCAGAAGCTTTCCCTGGTGCCCACCAGCAGGCAGATCTCTGGTTCCTGGCAGGCGGGGAGGTTCCTAAAATTAGAACAATGTTTGGGTTGTTCCCAACACACTGCTGCTTGATATCTCTTCTGAAAAGCTGACAGCTGGGGGTGGCTTCCCAGATAAGCCTTTGCCACGTCGTTCATTGCAGACTTGTAGATCTAGGCCTTTTCCCTAGAAGGCCACACGGCTCTGGAGTGTTGCACATGGAGCACAACCTGTTTCTGTAATCAGTATCCCAAAGCTAGTCACGTTATTTGAGTCTTTCTGTATAGAATTAACTTGTGTTTCTCCAGGTCACTAGCATGTTTGTATCGTTGTACTGTCGTTTGAACCTCTCTAGTCTGGCACCGTTGGGGCCTGACCGGTGCCGAACCAGGGAATTTGCTGGACCACAGGAAGTCGATATTGTCTAGCAGCATTCCCAATGCTGCCGCTGCTTGCTGGGCTCTTAGAAAACATTGAGGAGTAAATTGGAGCTAAATAGCAGCACAGAACACTGAGAGCCAGGACCGATTCCTATGAACAGACTTTATGGGACCGCGGGAAACTTGGGCACACCCATGATAAGCCGGACACCCAGCTCACTAAAATCATGCTGGACCACGGATGTTTCCCGACCAGAGAGTGCCAGATAGAGAAGTTCAACCTGATCCCATCTCCATGTTTTGTTAGTGCTACCAGACTATTTGTTGTTTTTTAAGTGTATCCTGGATTAGCACCACTTTCTTAAGCTGGAGTTTGTTTAATATTTGGAAGCTCCCCATGAGATGTTCTTGTTATTAAAATGCTCTGTAGCATACTGTAGCGAGATCAGACGATGGGGGCTTGGTAATTTACAATGTGTCGGAAGGCACCTTGGCAGATAGCTCCTTCCAGCAAATTTATTTCACATAAAAAAAAGGCTTGATACGATTGGTAAAGTTGGATGTGAAGACTTCCCTGTACTTCTAGCCTGTTATTCAAAGTAAAACCCTGTACATGCTCTAGTGTTACACCCAGACTTTCTGTAAGAACATTAGAGAAACAAAATGTAAAGGGGAAGCAGAGGAAAGAGAAGTTAATCGAGACTAAGGAAGCAGGCACTGCCATACACATTGCCAGACAAAAGCAGGGTTGGTATGTTATGGTTTTGGGTTGGGGCGGAGTGGGGATTGACTGGCTAAACTTGTGGAAAACAAGCTGCTGTGAAGAAGCATGGGATTGCTGCCAGCCACACCCACTTAGCATGGTTCTTCCCGTGAGACAACACTTGCCAAGCAGAAGCCATAGCCGGGACCCAGAGGGATGCACTGAGCTGCTGCCCAGCTGGTCACTGTGTTACAGGCTATCGCGCCTTCAGCCCAGTGATGTTGATGCGTCTTTAATTTTTTCTTTCTGATGTGCTCTAGGAAGAAGGGGTTTGGTGGAACTGCAGGAATGGCCTATGTTGGCACAGTGTGCTCCAAAAGCCATGCAGGAGGGATTAATGTGGTAGGATATCTTTAATACCCCTTTGCATAAACCTGTAATGTGAACTCTGCATCTTCAGTGCCGAAGCGGGAGAGCGTTAAGGATCTGACACCCTACCGTAGCAAGAGAATTCGGCTGCGTTCTGCCTCCTTTAATTCTCCCTGTGTGGTCGTACTGCAGCTCAGGTCCTGGAGTAGTTCAAAGACCCTAGGAGTGGTCAGTGCCATTCCTGTGCCGGCAGCCTGGCGTATCAAGGCCTGGCTCTTTCCTTGGGGGCAGAGCTCCCATCTCTGGCTGACGTCAGCGGGAGCGAGGGGAAGTTGTGACCACGGGATTACAGAGGGACCCTCCCTGCGAGCTCTGCTGTAAAAAGGGAAAGTTCAGAAAGTGTTCCGGTGACTTGCACTAACAAAGTGGGTGGAGCAAAGGTCCAGGACAGAGACAGACTGAAGCAGCCCAAACCAAAAGGCCTTCAGACATAAATCTTAGGGTCCTGTCTGGGAAACAAAACAGTATGAGACTGGAAATCAATTAACCAACATTGGTGTGTCAGAAACTAGACCTAATTGGTGAGGGCCTTAAAACACACACACAG